CCCCCGCCACGACCCCCGCAGCCGTAGTGACTCCTTTCTTAATTTTTTCTTCCTTGATTTTCTTCCTTTCAGACTTCATAAGAAAACACCAAGTATTACGTGACTATTAAGTAGAATATTTCAAAAAAATATATAATGTTTTATTTGAATATATTTTGTATGAAATTGCGAATCTCATAATTTTCTAAATTTATCTCAGTATGCAAGAATTTAATCAGTAGGCAACATAAATTCTTGAATATATGTTTTTGGATGATTAAGAGTTAAAACAAGAAAATCAACCTAATGGTGAAGTATTTAAAGAAAGATATTAAAAATTCCAAAGATGTAGAAATTATATTAAAAAATTATAGTTTTGAAATCCGGACCGTTCTAATGGGTCGATCCAGGATTTGGCTGACCCGAGACTAGAATTAAGCCGGGTTGGAGAAACAATAGGAGAAAAGGAAACCCGGTGTGACCCTGTAAGTTGACCTGGTAAGACCTAGTTAAGACCCGGTTGCAAACTTATTGATTTTTTTTATTAAAATGATATTATTTTGATTTAAAAAAAACTAATTAATTAAGTAATTAGGTCAAAAACCGGTAACTCAATCAAAACTTAAAACTTGAATTTTGAATTCGACTAGGTGTTAAAACTATGTAAAAAAACGGAAGGTGTAGAAAAAGAAAAGGGATAAATCTTAACAAGATTGTTTTTTTTTTAAATAACTAACTGAGCACAAATTTTTTTTAAAAAGGAAAATTATAGAAAGAAAAAGAAATTTATCAAAGCCTATGCCGGCCTGGACTAGGCGTACAAGTGCCTCTTAGCCAAACTCGGATATGCATTACTAGGCATGTCGCCCTTATGCAGTGCGGTGTTGCAGTAGTCTATTTACTTTTCAGAAGAAAATATAATTATTTATTTAGTAAATATAAAGAGATAGTTTTTTTTACCAGTAATTTCTTTTAATTTTAAAATTAAATTTTCTTGTAACCATATCATGTATAAATTCAATTAATTTTTTAATAAAATTTAATAAAATTTAACTGAGTTTATAAATATTTGATTTTGAATTTTTTTCTCAAATTGATTTTTTTATAAACAAATTTCTTTTTAATGAATAAAATATATAGTCAAATTTCAATCTTTGTATTTTTAAATTATTCAACTAATTTTTTAGTTTTTTCTGGATGCTTTGATTTTTTTTTTTACTTTTTTTTCCCTTCTGAGTATATATGTGTATATATTTTTATTTATTTTTGTTTGTACAAGAACCCAAAATTAAATTACAATAAGTCACAAAGATACAAGGGAAAGATGGTATGGATTTTAATACCAAGGAAATTACCTTATATTCGACTTTCTTATTGGATTTAAGTGTCTCTATGTCCCCACGAAGTCTATCCTTGACATTGACTTTTTCAGCAAGCCAGCTACTAACCCTTTTTTTAATTGTTGCATCTGATATAGAGCAGGGTATTAATATGCAACAAAATAAATAAGTAGTATGTGTGCGTCTCTCTCTCTCTCTCTCTCTATATATATATATATATATAATATCCCAAGTTTTAAGAGAATAAAAAAACAAAAAAAACAGATGATATGTGCATATACAACGTTACATTACCTTCACATCCTCTCTCAAATTCGAGCATGCCGTACCAACCACAATTATCAACAGAATCTTCAAATCCAGCTCCTCGTTTCTCCTTCACCGTCTTTTCCAGCCTAGTCTTAAAGCTCTTCAGTGCAGCACAACGTAGATGTTGCAGCATGGCAGCATAAGCTGGGTATACAAACTACATCACAGCCCGGAAACTTAATCACCGGCAACCGTGACTATCTCAAGTCAAAATAGAAAAATATTGCAGGCATTATTACTATATTATTGGTTGTTTTTTAAAAATAATTTTTATTTAAAAATATATTAAAATAATTTTTTTAATAATTTTTAATATTAGTACATTAAAATCATAAAAGGAAAATGGTCACACATTAAGGCCTTACTTGTAGGGCTTCGGTTTCTAACCGTTGCCGTTTGGCTT